TCTTCCTCCCAGCTCTAAGCTGGAAGCGTTCCTTGCCTCTGGGCGAGGACTGAGAGCTAGGAACTGTCCCTTCCTACTAGAAGCGCAGGTGGGTGGACTGGCAACGTGAGGGACCACGCCCCAGACCTACTGAATCTTAGTCTCTGGGGGGTAGGCCCAGGATTGTGTTTTGTTTGTTTGTTTTACACATAGCCGCTTCAGGTTATTATGCATGGCTAAAGTTTGAGAAACTCTGGTCTGGAACAAAGAAGTTTGAATGTAGAGGCTTCACATCCCTAGCTGAGATCATAGCCTGAAAGCCAGTATGCATATATATGTATGCAAAGAAAAAAGGGTTTTTCTTTGGAGGACAAAGCTTGGGAAACGGAGCACAGTGTTTACGTTCTAAGCCCCAAAGCTGGGAATAATTTGTGATGCCTTAGTAGCTATCTCTGGATCCTAAACTAAAAACAGTTTGATCAGCAGGAAGGAGAGAGGATGAGAAGGGGATGGGATTAGATTTTAGAGGACGTGCAGTGTTTTCAGTGTCCTTCTCAGAGACCCACGAGGGCCCTGCTTGAAAAGGTTTTACTAGTTTGGCCAGACTCTCTCAGGAGCTTGCAGTGAGTTACACTCAGAGGCACACCCCTGAGGAGAAAAGTCAGGGCTGAGAGGCAGTCACAGGGCTGCTTGCGCCCCAAGTTACCGAGGGGGTGAAGATGTAAAGAAGCCAGGCAGGAGAGAGAAAGGAGAACTGACCAGAAAGCCAGAAAGGAGCCAAAGTGAGGGCGACGGCACGAGTCCAGGGCCAGAAGGATTCTTATTATGAACTAAGAGCCCTGAAAAGGGTGCGGGCAGCCGAGAGACAAAGCATCACGGGGAAGTCATCACCCATTTCCTGATTGTGGACAGTTTGATCTGGTGCCTCATCTGGCTGGTCTGAGGGCCCCTCCTCCAGGCCTGCCCTTGACCTCGCCCTGCACTGACCCCGGGGAAGATTCCTTTAGCTATGGAGGAGCTGGCACTGAAGAGAGTGTCCCCTGGGGGGTCCCAACGGCCAGGGAAGGAAGGGGCCTGAGAGGTGCCTGGGCTGTGTGGCGCTGCCCTGTTGGGCAATCTGGGTGTGTCCCGGAGATTCGTGGAGAGCCAACTCCTTCCCTCCCTCCCTCCCTCCCTGAAAACCATCTCAGAAGCCCAGGGTGAGGTCAGTTTCAGTTTAAGCTGCTTTGCATAAAAAAACAAAAACTCTCTTTCCTCTTGACCTGAAAACTTACACCTAAAAGTTTTTTGAGCTTTTGGTGTGGAGGACTGGACTGTCAGGAGATGTGGGTTTCCCTCGTGTTCTGAGGGACCTTAAGTCACTCAAGCAGCCAGGGTGCGCCGGGCTAGACGAAGTCTGGAACGTGGTCCATAATGGACAGGTGGGGGTGGAGCGGTGTGCAGACTTCCTCCCAGAAGCCTTCCCTGACCCTTGGGCAGGCCCTCTGGCCGGTGCTTCCATAGTCCTTTGGCCTCTCCTTTCGTAACCTTAGCACAGTGTCATTTTATGTGCATTCAGCAAATTACTTGCTTCTCCCACAAAACTGGAGCTCCATGAGGAGCTGTGTTTGCTCACCGTTGGATCGCTAGCAGCTGGCATGTGCCTGGCATATAGTAGGCAGACATCATATGTATTTGTTGAATAAATGAATACTTAAAAACCTTGAAATTAAGCATGCCAGTGATCAATCATGGCTGAGTCTTTGCAAAAGGATTTGTCACTGGGTTTAATCATTCAGAAAACATTTAAGGAGCGTCTGCCACGTGCCATGTTCTGTGCTAGGTAATATGGGGAAGGGGTTTATCCGAAGGTAAAGAAAACAGGGTCTCTGCCCTTAAAAATAAATATAGGCTGGAGGTGAGAACCTCCCCCAGCCCGCCCCCCTGCTATGGCCACTCTGGTGTCTTACGCTGTTGTTCTTCTTGTAAAGGAAGCTGTTTCCCACACGGTCATGATGTGGTGAAGCCATAGGACACATCCTAGCCCCAAGATTAGAACAGACATGGCCATTCTAAATGATGGCCTCACATGGCGAGACGGTTTGTTAGTCATCTAAACTGAGAACTCGAGAGACAGGAAGTTTGGGCCCTGGGAGAGATCTCAGAGGTGGCCAAACATGCCCGTTCACCCTGGACGCCCAGACGCGAATCCATCTCTGCTGAACGAGGGACTGTGTGAAGCCCCAAGCTCTCTGCATCAGAAAAGCTGGGGAGGGATGGCACCTGCCGCAAGCACTGTGGTGAGGATTCAATGAAATGCTACAACACCTCTGTGAGGAACAGGAGGCTCAGGGCGCCCAGGTAATGAGGGAAGTGTGCTGTGTACCCTATGCACGTACTCCACGCTGCCAACCTCCATCCCACTGGGCCCCGGGCGTGCTCTGCTCCTGCGAGGGCTCTGGGGTAAGGTCATGCTCCCCAGTGGGCAAGGAAGCTGAGGTCATTGTTTGCTTTCGATACTTGTCCCTGAGTCACTGCCTGCGCCGACGAAAGAAGAAGGACATTCATTCTTTGTTGCCTGCACACAGTCTGTCTCGACCGGCTCCCGGTGGCAAGACTGTCTCTCACAGAGAGCCTGCACGTGGGTGGGGCAAGTGGCTGCCAAGAGCAGCAGCCAGATGGGGGAGCCAGGAGCCTTCTCCCTGCTCTGCTGTCTCTGCCCCACAGAGCCTGCCTGCTGAGATCTGTGGGATGTGTGGTGTTTTTCATGTCAGGTCTGCTGCCCACAAGGCGCCCACACAGGGCCCTCATATCAGCTGTCTTCACTGTGCAGAGAGCCTGGCTCCTTCATTCTGAAAGCTGGGTGATATCCTGGAGAAGCCACGCCCCCCCCTTGCCTGGAAACCATGTTGGCTTTTCCCCATGTGGAATTTCCCCAGTAAGGTGTCTTTGGCAACTGCAGAGCCACAGGAAGGTCACAGCTGGTGAGACAGAGAGCGAATGCGAATGTGAGGGAGGAAGCGCCAGCCCTGCCCACGCTGTTCGGAGCCCCACAGGGACAGGAAAGCACCGAGTCTCTACAAACAGGGCCCTCACACAACCAGGGAGCATCTCGGCCGCAGGTGGGTCTCGCCTTTCACACCTGACATCCAACTCCCCCATTTAGAAGAGGGGTTCTCAGTCCTGGCTGCACATTAGACCCCCCGGTACTCAGGCTGCAACCCAGACTAACTGCATCAGAATCTGTGCGGTGGTACCAGGGTGGGCATCAGTGATTGTTAAGCTCTCCAGGTGTTTGCAGTGTGCAGACAATGACGAAGGCAACTAATTCAGAAAATAAAACCCCTAAACAGACATACCTCAGATTACAGGTTCAGATCCAGACCACTGCAATAAAGTGAGCCATAATCTTATTGCTGGTGGAGGGTCTTGCCTTTAATTTGTAAAAAAAACCACAACACTTGTGAAGCTCAATAAAATGAGCTTTGCCTGTAGGGTCTTTCTGTTTGGGCATGTAGGCCCTGGGGACAGTCTGGGTTCAAATCCTGCCTCCGTTACTTACTCGTTGTGCCATTGCAAGTGTCTCCACTTCTGAAAGCATCGATCTCCCCATCTGTAAAGTGAGAATAATGATGAAAGCGCATACCTTGTAGGGCCAGTGTAGGATTAAATGTGATAATCTGCTTATAACAGCTGTGGTCAGTTAGTGCTGGCCATCCCCTCATAACTCACACTCTGTGCTGCCTTGTTTCTGCCTCCAAAATGCAGACTCCTGTGTCTGCTTCAGCGTTAAGTTCCCACCACTTTGTCTATGTGGTGCCTTGTGCACAGCAGCACTCAATAAATATTTGTTGAATAAATGAGTTGGGAGGAGATCCTTGTGTAATGTTAAGACTTGCTCCTAATTTAGCTCTAGAATAAACCCAAAGTCCATATATTGATTTTGGTTAGCATTTTATTCCTTTTTTTGTGTGTCTGCAGTGTGCTGGGCTCTGAGGATTTGAGCATAAAGACACAGTTGCTGTCATTAAGGAGATGAGGGTCTCGTGGGGACACAGATTCATGACCTTGTATTTTCTTTATTATGCTATAGTTGGCACGGAAGCACCATGGGCACACAAAGGAGGAAGAGGAGGGGAGAGAGGGAGAAGGGAAATATCTGCGCAGGATAGAAGATGACCTTTCTGCTGGGTCTTAACAATGAGGAGCTTGTCACACGGAGAAGCAGGGAAGAGCATTTGAGGCAGAAGGAACAGCACTTACAAAGCCCAAGAGGCCCAGAGGATGTGTTGCAATCTGGAGATGGTATGATTGGCAGGAGAGAGCGTGGGGTCCAGATTGGTGGGAGACAAGGCCGGGCAGGCAGGTTGCAGCTTGAGGGCTGGGCTAAGAGACTGGGGCCTTATCCTGTCAGCCAGTAGAATCCAGCCACGTTTGTGAGCCAGGAAGTTTAAACACAGCACATCCGTGCTTGGTTTCCTTCTCTAAGGCCATTCTGGCAATCACCCCTTAACCAGATGATTCCTGATACCAAGTCACTGTGCTGGTCCTTCTCCTGGTACCTGCCAGGGACAAGCCTGTCAGGTTGGGTCAAGCTTAGCCCCCACTTCTGGGTCAGAAGAGCAGATGAATGAGAGTGGGTATAGAGGAGGGTATAGGTGGGGGTGGCAATGATTCCTGAGAGTTGTGTTTGTTGGAGGCATACTTTCCAGCTTAAACCAGCTGGAAAAGTTGGGGCAGCCTAAGAAAAAACAGGTGGGCAGCAGAGCTTAGCGGAAAGGCCCCCGGCTGACTAGAGTCGGGAGACCTGCTTTTTCTATTTGTTTGTTGTAAAGCATGACTGGTGCCTTGGGCACTTAATTCCCTCTCAGGACCCCAGTTTCATCAGCTGTGAAACGAAGGCGGTGAGCCAGGTGATCTTCCCACTCCTTGATTCCAAAGGAAGCAGGAAGCTCGGGGCCTCAGTGTGGGATTTGGTGGCTAAGCTGCTGAGGGTGGGGTCTCCCAGGCAGAACAAGCCTCTTTTAGACAGGACAGGAGGCTTTTCAGAATAGGTGGGTGACAGGGCTGCCTCCATACTTGACTTTTGCTCCTAGACCTGGCCACAGCCACAGGACCGGGCAGCCACTCCTTATCCAGGTGAGATTGATGGACCACAAGAGGTGGGGCAGTGGAGTTCCCCCAAGACCGAGCAGAAAGCAGCCCAGACGCCTTGGTGAAGCTGCCCTAGGATGCAGCTAGGGTCTGGCTGCTCCAGCCCCCTTGGGGTGCCCCTCCTTCCCCAGCCACCCTTTCTCTCCCCCAACAATGTGTAGCCCATAGGAACCAAGTCCAGAGGCAGGCACTGGGCTGCAAGGGGCCGGGTGGTGGGCAGTAGTGGGGGGTCCGCTGGGGCTTCTGGGCCAAGAGCCCAGAGGAAAGATGGCAGAGCAGCTGGGTCCACCTCACCTTGGCAGCCATACCAAGCGGGTCCCAGTGTCCTGGAGACCACCCCCCTCCACACACACTGTGAACTCTACGTGAATAATTTAAAAAAATGATCACACATGGATTAAGAGGGCCTAGCGGTCATTCACACAGCAAACACTTACTGAGTGCTGAGTCCTGTGCTAGGACAGAGGGACTGTACTCTGAACTCTCACGGGGATGAGTGCAGGATCACATGAATCACCTGGGAGGCTTAGGGGACACTCTCAGGAGGAGAGAAGCCCAAGCTGAGACCTGGAAGGCAGCTCAGGGGAGTTGCCTTCAGGAACAGTCTAGGCAGGGTCAGGAGGCAGGTGCTGAGAGGAGCTGATTGTGGTCAAAGCAGGGATCGACAGGAAATGTTCTTTCTCCACTCACCAGAATTATAGTCAATTATTTGCATAAATATCATTTAATATCTGTATCCCCTGCTAGACCACAAGCTCCAGGAAAGGGAATGGTGTACATTATGTTCTCTGTAGGAGTCCAGTACTCTGCATGTTGCCTAGCACATAGTAAGTGTTCAGTTAAGTAGGTATGCAAGTAAGTGAGAAATAATTTTTGTGTTAATGTGAGTTCGATCAGAAAGGGCTGTGAAGCCATGCTAATGAGTTTAGATGTTATCCTAAGGACAATAGGGAGCCACTGAAGGTTTTAAGGAGGGAAGTAACTCAATCAGTTTGAGCTCTGAGAGTCCCTCTTTGGCTTTGGTGTGGAGAATGGCTAGAGACAGAGAGTCCAGGTGGCAGAGGGAGGCAACCTCAACTCAAGTTGTGGCTGTGGAGATGAGCGGACCGCACAGATTTGAGAGGAGACGTGCTCCCGGGGTCCAGGGAGTGACTAGACATAAGGAGAAAGGGGAGACTGAGGCCCAGGGAGGATGCCCAGGCTTCTAGTTTGCCAGGTTTGCCCCCAAGGTCCTGTAGGACTGTGTGCACATCCCATCGTGGCCCTTAACTCGGGGCATTGTTACTATTCATTCTCTCTTTCTGTGACTCTCCCATAAGGGGGCATGAGCTCTGAGGGCCAGGGCCGGTCCTAGTCACCTTTGCATCCCTGGTGCCCAGCATGTAGCAGCTGCTCAGTAGGTGTTTAGTGGGTAAAATTCTGATTGAAAATTGTATGTACAACTTTAAGGGCAGATGATATTATTATTAATAACTGCAATGTCATAGGCAATTTTCAAAACGTGGGTCACATGAAAGAAAAAGTCATTTGAATTTGAGAAGCAGTGGTCAGAGGCCTGGGAGGTGGAGTGGGGGAGGAGATGGAGGGGACTCCCCTGAGCTGTGAGGGTCTCTGGACAAGGGAGACCTTCTGGGTTTGGTAACCAGTGCTTAATGCTGCCTCTCCCTGACATGGGAGCCTGCAGGGAGAACTAGGTTTTGAGAACTAGGTGATTAGTTTGGGAACCTGTGGGACATCCAGCTGCTGATAGAAATTGGTGTGTCACCAGCAATAGAGGGTTCTGGAAACTTTAGGCATGAATGAGAGGCTGCAGGGTGAGCTGTGGCAGGATGTGGAGAGCAGGACTGGGATGCCCTAGAACAGGGGTCGGCAAACTGCGGCTCACGAGCCATGCGCGGCTCTTTGGGTACATACATGTGGCTCTGAAGTAAAATTGAAAATGAAAATAAAGCTATCATGGTTTCGTTTATAAAACGTTTAAAGGATACTATTCACATAATGGTGATTTCATTTGTTTTATGGCTCTCGAATAAGTTTTAAATTGTTGTGAGGGTCAGGATTCGCTGTTCCGTCTCAGAAGTTTGCCGACCCCTGGCCTAGTGGAAAGAGCTTTTAAGGAGGAGGCGGAGGAGCGAGGCGGGGAGCACTGAGAATACCTCAAGACTGTGAGGCGCGGGAGGTCCTCTCTGTCCCCTCCACCCTCCTCATTATTGTCCCCTTCGCGTAGCTGGGGATAGGTACCAGCACTGCAGAGCCTGCACTGAACCCCAGCTTCACAGGGTTCAACTTCCCTTTGCATATGCTTGGCTCACCTCCCTTTTGTGGTCACAAGAATGCAACAGTCTGTGGTTTCCTTATCTGCACAAGGCTAGCCTCCCGGACTGCTACACTTGCTCCTCAACTCTGTCACTTATTTCGTTTCCGCTTGTTGCCCTCCACACCTTGGCTTTTCTCCCACAAAGTCCTCAGGATAGCTCTGCCCTCCCGCCGGCGAGCCAGGCTCTCCTGGCTGCTCCCGGAGGGTGTCAAGGGCGTTTGCCAGTTTCCTCCCACTTCCTCCCTGCTTCCCCTGGCCTCTCCTCCCTCTGGTCTGGCTGCGGGAAAAGGTCCAGAGCCGGCAGCAGCCGGCGGGAAACCCAGGGCCAACCATCCCCCCAGCCATCGCACACCCAGGCTCCACAGCTGTGTGAGGTACGGCGGTGCACGGGCACACGTACAACAGGCACTTGGGGCAAAAGGCCCCGAACGGCAGCATTTTTTTCTGTTGAGTAAATATCCCCTCCGTGACCAATTTCAAGCGACCAGCAATGAGTCACTGAACACAGAACGGGGAGGAGGTGCAGGAGCACCCTCCCATGTTATATCTCCACCATACAGACACAGGAGGCGTAGATAGCCTCAAGGGCAGAATTACAGAATGTAGTGAAATAACTGGGAAGTGGTGAGTTTGGGTATTTATTACTTTTTAAAAAATATGACATTGTCTTGTAAGGTTTGACCATTTAAAATTTAAAATAATGGCCATTTAACAACTGATTTGCAAAACTCTTGAAAATGTCACACTTAGCTCTTCCAAGCAGTATGAACTGGCTCCAGCAAACCACTGTGTGTCAGCTGGGCCAGGAGAACAGGGGGATACTCCAAACCCCAGAGCGTAGGGGACGTTTACACTGATGTGCACTCTTGCCTGGCATGCTGCCCCTGCCCAGGCCTTGGGCACGGTCAGTATGGATGACACATGATGGGCGGCAGGCCTCAGCATCTGCATTTATAGTCAGGCCCAGGGGAAGCAGAGCCTGGCCCTGCGAACCCCCTCCCACCTGGCACACCTGCACTTTCCTGTGCCTGCTCAGGCCCCGGCCTCTGGACACCTACCCTGGCAGACCCCAGAGCCAACAAGCTTTAGTGGTGCAATGTCCTTGGCTTTTGAAGGTGTGAAATCTGCTGAGGGTTGGAACTTCCACATTGCTCAGAAAGCAGGCTTGCCTAATCATCCCCAGTGAAGAAACCAAAAGAGAGCGAAGCCTCTTGCTGAACCTTCCTTTCCATGCACTGCAAGGAGGGTAGTGCTGGGTCTCAACAGATGTGGGACAGACGAGAGCTTCAGGGGTGCAACCGAGCCTGGGGCCATTTCTAAACAGTGAGAATAAAAAGCACACGTGAGTTCATTCAATACATTCTAAATGTGCCAGTCTTTGTGCTAGTCCCAGGGACATCAGAGGTGCTGACTCACAGTGGTGAAAACCTGTTACCGAACTCAGGTTCGGGTGCTTGCCGCTTGTGAGCCGGTGATGGAGTGACAAGGGTTGGTGGAGAGAAGAGTAGGTTTATTCAAAATGCCGGCATTCCAGGATGATGGCGGACTAGTGTCTCAAAGGCTGCCTTCTCACCTCCTAGAATGGCCAAGAAGAAACAGAACAAAGGAAAGGGGGAGTTAGTCATGTGACTACCCTGGGAGAATGTCTCCTGGAGTCCTGTGTGTTCCACAATTGTTATCTCGAACCAGGTCTTAGGGGTGACTCATATGTCATCTGATGGAGAATCGCAGGCCAGAACTGCAGCCTGGTTGCTGGTGTTGGGATGGCTGAGGGCTGACTCAGTTTCTTTCACGTCAGTGTTCTGGCCACTGGCTAGATCAACGAGGTATGCATGTAGCCTCGAGAAAACACAGTGATAGAATCAGGTAGGAAGGAAAGGAGAAAGAATAAAAAGAAACTAAATTGTTAAATCTTGGAAAGTACACCACCCCCCTTGCAAACCTTGTGTTGGCCACCCCAGGAAATAAGGAACGTTGCTGGCTGATGTTCCTGCGTTCCTGCCAATGGCCATCATGAAGGCTGGAGAAAAACAGTCACCTTCTCCCACATCCCAAACATGCCTCAGGCCCTTGTTTACATTTTTCCCTCCATGAAAGGTGCCTTCCCTTGCTCGTAATCACAGCCAATCCCAAGCCAGCCCCATCGCACCAGGCCCCTCCCAGCTCCCTCTCTCCAGTTGCTGCCTCTACCTGTCCTGCTTCTGCATCGTCCCTTGGGATCTTCCTTTGAGCGTGGGGCTCATGGCTCTGATTCTAAACTCAGGAAGGCTAGGACCTTGTCACTCATTCATTCATTTATTGATTCATTCAGTGGGAAGGAGCCTGGGGAGGAGGAAGAAGGATGGAAGGTCTGTTTAAGTGGTGAGGGCCGGCCGAGTGGCGCGTTGGTTAAGAGCTGGCTTGGGAAGCCAGAGGGCCCCGGTTTGGATCCCAAATATGAGGGCCAGTGACACTGCCCTCTACAGCTAAGATGCTGAACAACAGCTCAACCTGGAGCTGGGCTGCCGTGAGTCGCTGGCAACAGCGACGGCGTAGGCTGCAGCCCCTGTGGCAGTGGGTTGCCATGGGCTACCGTGTGTGGCCAGCAGCCAGCGTGAGCGGCCAGCAGCCGCAGTGTTCCCCTTCCCCCCCAATTCCCCAGTGCTGTTCCAATTCCCCAAAAAAAAAAAAAAAAAAGACTAAGTGGTGGTGGTGGTGGTGGTGGGGTGGGGGGGAACAGTTCAGGGGAGGCAGAGGGAGGCAGAGGGAGGCAGGCTGCTGGGCACCTACCAGGCCTCAGAATTGAAACATGTTTATCTACAAACACCATTTCCATCCCAGCAACTGGGGTTGTCTTCCCACTAGGTTTCTGAGGCTCACTAGGTCAGTTTAAGCAATCACAAGATATGATTAATGAAAACAAAATCGAAAAGAGGAATAAAGGAAAGGAGGTGGGGAAATACAACTCCCCTGACTAACCTCTGTTCTGTTCTCCTCGCAGACCCTTTGCAAGTAGATACCTGCCTTTTGTAAATAGTGAAACAGTGTCCACATGCATGGTAGTTACTCTCTTTTTGATCGGCCTGCAGGTTACTCTCGGAGGGAAAGACTATGGATTATGCTTGGTGCCCTGCCTCCCAGCAGCCTCACTCAGCTTTCAGGCCTTGTGGTAAAGACCTTTATATTCCTTCATTCTAAGCAAAAATAATTATTTCCACTAGGAAACCTAGCTTTTGTTGTATTCCATCTCGATGTGCAATGGTTTAAAGTTTGATTTCTCACTCTTTAACATTGTTCATTTGCAAAATATTTAGGGAGATTTAGCTGAAATTCAGGCACAACCAGTGGAAGACTCAGGAGCAAGGCTAGGGCTCCATCTACCGGTCTCTTCGAGTATGACAAAATTGAACGCATTGAGCCTCCTGTTTCTACAGGTGAAAATGAGTTGATTTTAAATTAGAGATGGACCAGGTGTGTGCGACAACACGTGTAACTAACAAAAGGTTTGTGTCAGAACCCATAAAGAACTCTTACAAGTTAATATTTAAAAACTCAATAGAAAAATGAGCAAGGAGGCTTAAAGGGTCACTTCGTAATAGAGGATATAATGGACAATGCATTTATAAAAGATGGTCAGCTTTTTATTCTTAGAGACTCGCAGGTGGAAAGGAGGTGGAGCAAGACCTAAGTACAGTGGAAGCTTAAATACATACTCTGGGGGAAAAACAAAACAACTCCCAGGTAATTCAGATTTTACCCATTAGGGGGAATTTCTTCCACTTCACTTTAATTTGTTTAAGGGCAATGCAAAGTTAAACCACAATGAGGTACCACCACATACCCTCCAGAATGATTAAAATGGAAAGATTGACAATGCCAAGTTGACAAAATGTGGGGCAACATGTCCTCTCATATACTGCTGGTGGGAGTACAAATTGATACAACTTTGAAAACTTGTTCAGCATTATCTGCAGGCGGAGATTGGGACTGACACCAGAGGCCTTCTGGGGCTGGTGATGTTGTATTTCTTGACCTGGATGGTTATATGTTTATGATAATTTATCTTTGATTTGAGCACTTAAAATACACAGAACACCAGTTATAAATTTAAAGAATAAAAAAGTTAAAGATGGAATAGTAGAGCGGGATTCTTTACTAGGAGAATATAGGCAAGAGTATGTATGGAAAGAAGATAGAAACTTGAGAAAGGAGAAAATCAAGTGTGGGTTGCAAACTATCTCTATGTATTTCAGATTCTTACCCCTAGGGAGTCTGCATGTCTCTCTTCGCCCTGTGAATTCTTGCCCTATGCAAACATTTTGTTTTGACTTTCCCCCCCCTTGAATTACCTCCTTGGGAAGTAATAACTTAAAGAGCTAAAATACATTCAGTGGCTTTTAGAAGAGCTCTGGTGACCTTCTGGGAGATAGTTTGGTCAAGTGGAGGCAGTGAAATCCAATGTACCATCCTGGTGCCTCAAAGAACAAGAACAAAATTAAGAAACAGAGTAAACTTTTGGCTTTTTTTGTTTTTGTTTTTTTGCCTAGAATGCATATAATAATATAAAGTTGAATGCTCCTAAAGTATTATACTTCCATTACTTTTATACATCTGTTATCTAAAACTTGGTTGTGATTTTAACTACATGAGTCAACACTGGATCCCTTTGGTATTACATGTTTATTAGTTATAACTATATTTAAGAGTTGTCTGTGATCTATTCCTGTTACAACTCTACCTAAATGACTTTGGGCAAGTCACTTAACTTCTCCTGGTCTCAGTTTATTTGCAAAATGAAGATTATAATGTTCTTCAAAGTATTATCATGAGGATTAAATAATACATATAAAGTGTACAGCACAGTGTCTGAAATGCAGCAAGGGCTCATTAAATGTTAGCAATTATTTCCCCTGTAAACCAAAAGTTGACTGTAGTTTGGTATGGCTGATACATGGGAGGTAGGATAGTAGTGGTGGTGCATGGAACTGTGGGTGAAGCAAGCAGTCACCAGATCAGAAAGATTTTCTGTGTCATTACCAAAAGGATGGACTTTATAGGCCATAGTTTCTCAGGCCATCCCTAATGGGAGTGTGATCTTCTATCACACAGAGGGTGAGGGTATGGCCCAAGATACTCTCCAAAAACATTGTTTCATTTCCTGTATAACTTTAAAAACACATAGGAATTTTGTGTTTTATTCCATAACATGTTCAATGGAAGGGAGGTGGCCTTTCAAAGATCAATTCTTGGTTGAATGACTATAAAATAGATGGCATTTGGAAGTATAGTAAAAACTCATATTGCGAGTAACTTGGTTGGCAAGTGTTCTGCAAGACGAGCAAACATTTCTATTAGGTTGGTGCAAAGGTAATAGCTTTGAAATTACTTTTGCACCAACCTAATAATACATTTTATCTTGGTAAACGAGCAATGTCTTGCAATATGAGTGTTTGTTTCCGGAACGAATTATGCTTGCAAACCGAGGTATTACTGTAGTTTCATTTAGAAAAAAACATTTCCAACGAATTGAACCAACTTTTTGAGACATCTCAATATCAAGGTATCTTAAAGATGAGAATGCTTTTAAAACCAAATATATATCAATGGCTAAACACTTTACATTCTATTAGTACTTTGTCTTAGGGGTTTAAAAAATATCCTGGACTTCGGGAAACATTCTTACACAAAAAAGCGAGGAGGATGGAAAAGGTTTGTGTTCTGATAATTCTGAAACTCAAGTCAAGCTGTAACTGATTAAGAGCCTGTTCTAGGATTTGCCTTGTAGCTTTCACAGGCGAATATGATAGATTAATGAATGGAGTCCAGGAAACTCTTCTCTGTACTCCACTTCTTCATGGCTTGACTAAGGTCAAAACATTCATTGTCATCACTGTTCAGAGGCAAATATCCCTGTAACCATTTACCTGTTAGATTTCCTCTGGAAAGAAAGTGGGGCAACAATGATAGAGGAGTGTGGGGTCAGATCTTTAATTCTAGAAAAGTCAAGGGAACAGAGGTGTGTCTGGATTGCTTTCATTAGGTCTCAAAAAACTTCCTACTTAAAAAAAAATCCTCCTTGGGCCGGCCGAGAGGCGCAATGGTTAAGAACTGGCTTGGGACGCCAGAGGGCCCCGGTTCGGATCCCACATATGAGGGCCAGTGACACTGCCCTCCACAGCTAAGATGCTGAACAACAGCTCAACCTGGAGCTGGGCTGCCATGAGTCACCGGCGACTGCATAGGCTGCAGCCCCTGTGGTAGTGGGTTGCCATGGGCTACCCTATGTAGCCAGCAGCCAATGTGAGCGGCCAGCAGCGGCAGTGAGCGGCCGTCCAGAAGCCGGCGACTGATCTGCCTCACCTGGGAAGAGCGCAATGATGGTGTCAACTTGGGCCAGTGAAGCAATGTCCTCCACAACTAGACTGAAGAACAAAACGACAGCAACTTGTCTGTTCCCCTTTCCCCAATTCCCCAGCACTGTTCCCATCCCAATTCCCCAATAAAAATCTTTAAAAAAAAAATCCTCCTTACCAAGAAATAGCTTAATATATTTTGGAGAAAAACCAACCCCCACATATCTTTTTCCATAGTGTCAGCATTTTGTTAAAGTGAACAAAAATGTTAAAAACAAAACCTCACAGACCAAAATGCAGGAACTGGCAAGTGAAACACAAAGGAATTTGAAAGTCAAATCAGAAAAAGTTTTTGAAAAGTCCAGGACAGGAGACACGAAAGCTATTGGTAACTCACAAAGTATAATATTTGTGTTTATTAGGTAATACCCATAAGCCAAACTTTATAGTGTATGTTCTGTAAAAGTCCCATGAGCACCTTAAACCAGAATGCCACTTGACAATGATTGAGATCTTTGGTGATATTCACAGAAGGCTGGATTTTAAAACCTCCTCATCTTAAACACATGATCAATGTAGAGATGATATTTAGTCATAAGGCTTCATACCTCCTAGTTATACTTAGTCTATAGTTTATAGCAATTATAATAGATCATGGTTGGAACTGAATTACAACCCAAAATATTATTGTACTAGTGTATTAAATAAAGCTAAAAGTTTAGCATAAACAAGAGCTTGTAAGACTAGTACCCCAAATTAGATTTTAGCATCTGACATGAACCAAAAAAATGACACATCAAAATAGAAATATAGCTAGGTAGATAATCAAATAATATGCAACATTTATTTACTAGTATAACTTATCTAGGACTGTATTTTATATTTTCAAAAGTAGTTGAGTCTTTTTCTAGGTAACTGGAAAACTTTAAAGAACATACTATTTTAAAAGCCTGATAATCATTTTCATCTAATTTAGCAGATAAAATGTTATTTTTCATCTGTGAGCTCCTAGTTGGCACAAATTACAAAAGGTACTCAATATACATACATTTTTATTTCCTTTATTTTTGTCATTAACTTCAGCGAAAAATCCAAAAATCAGGTGAATAAGCTTTATGTTGAAAAATACTGATAAATGATTCTGGTGATCATGGTGGTCTGGGCAGGAATCTGCCTTGCTAGTGAATGTTAGAGCATATGGTACGTAGATAATATATGAAATTCTGTTACTCTTTTCCTATATTTCTGCCCCAACTCCAAAGGGAATATAGAAAAAAGGTCAAGGGAAGGTAAAAACCTTTGATGACTCAGGTATCCTCAGATGGACCAGTCACAGAACTCCTAAGTTAGCTCCAGAGGGCTGGCTGCATCCACACATGCTGTAACAGCCATCACAGAGTACAGCAGGGCACACTGGGGGTGACAAACTTCTTCTGGACAGATAGGACATGTGTTATGTTTGTCGCAACTACTCAATCTGCCACTGCACAGGAAAGTGTCCGGTGACAACACGTAATCAAATGAGTGTGGCTGTGTTCAAGAAACACTTTATTTACACACTGAAATTTAAAGCTCACATAACTTTCACATCACAAAATATTATAACTATTATTCTGATTTTAAAAAAAAACCTTTAAAAATAAAAACCATTCTCAGTTCTTTGGGCCCATGAGGCGTAGTTTGCTGACCCCCACCCTGGTCTACTCTCTTGGAACGTCGTTAAGTCATTACTCTTAGATTTCATGATGGTCCTCACCAATCTTTCTTTCCTTTCTGCCATTGTTGCTGGGGCTGGGGGGACATTAAAAATTGACTGATATAAAATAAAAAGGTAAAGTTTTTTTTAGTATCATTTTTACCCTATCTGGAAGATTTTTTTTCAGGCTTATTTTTTAAATATCCAAGAGGGCATTACAATCTGAAATTATAATACCAGATAGGCTATCATGTATTTTCTAATGCTTTTGTTTTTAAGAAGAGTATGTTTCAAGACCTACTATTACTTAATCAATTAAAAAAAAAACCTAGACATTTAAGGGACTGTACATTTTCATTTTTTAATAAACCACACGGCCAAACAGTACTTTATTTAATAAATGTGTAGGAAATTACAATTTAAAAATTGCAAATACAGTACATATACATATATATATACTTTGATTTTAAATTACATGGACAAACCCCAGCTTCAAAATCTTTCTAAAATCAATCATATGCAAAATACCTGGTTTCTGAAGGGGTATATGGAGAAGTATATACAATTTCTTAAACTGCGATATGGCTTACTTAATAAAATATTTACTTAGAGAAGCATAAGCTTTCCAGATATACAGTATCTTCCAGGTGCAAAGCGAACTTACTGGCACATTTCAATTTTGTGTTGCAGTTATTTTAGAATATACTTAATTTAATATACTTAAATTGACACTATCAGAGATTAAACTGAAAGTATCTCCATAAATGTTTTTCAATATTACCCCAAATCAGAAACTGTTTGTTGGTACTCACAATATGATTAGAAAAACAAGTTAGACCCTTTGTAAGCGAAAATTCAATGACAGGCTGGCCTGATGGTACCCGCGCACGCACGCGTGCGCGCGTGCGCGCGCACACACACACACACACACTTCAATACTGAGAAACTCCCACAACTTCCCTCCAATTTGCATATTCCTACCAACATCACCATCTCCCTGACTGGCGATGTGTAAAACAAGTCTGAAGCCCTGTCTGGTGGGATCTATATGACAGAACTGTAGTTATGGTTTGCAAATGGTATTTTGGTTAATCGATGACTTGAAGATCAAACTTGCCTCCCTTCCGGACAGCATATACATATACGGAGGTGTCACTATTCATTTGTGACTAATACCCAACTGGCTCATGAGCTAAGCTTGGTTCAAAGGCAAACCGAACCAAATGAACTAATCTTATATCTAGGAACACATCCTGTAACTTTAACTTTACTGTATGTAAGGTACAGTCAACAGAAAAATTGCCTAACACCTTATTCCAAAGGGGCTCAAATTCCCTAAGAACACCTGATTCGTTATGATGAACCAATTAATATAAATGCAGAGAAAGAAAATAAATGTAGTGAGTTGTGCTTGTTTCAGCAGTGAATGATTCTCTCCTAAAGCAGTGAGAGTGGTTGTTTGAGACAACCCAGAGGCTGTGGTTGCACAGTAGAGTCTATTTCTGTCACTTGTTCTGTGAAGTTCAGTGTGCAGACACTCTGGATCAGTCAGCTGTTGAAAAAAAGGCTCCTCCCCATCTAGAAACATTTTTCTAAGTGGGCTTTGTTTCTGAAAGGTGGTCTTTTCTCACATTGAAATGAAAGGGAAGCTCCTGTATCTGATCTTCCCTGTGTCTAGCCTGGGAAAATTCTATTCAAGACAAACACTGTCAGGAGGACCTCTGGGTTCAAGAGACAAAACCAGAAACCAGAACACTGAGACTCCTAAGAGCAGGAAACTTCATTTTAGAAACTTGAAATAAAGCATCAAACAGTTGACAGAGGAACGGCAAAATAAGAACTCCAGAGACTTGGCAAACAATACTGATGACAGCTGCAAGTTGTGGCTGGTGGAAAATGTACTAGGAATTACAGTCGCTTCTGGGTCTGCACCTCAAAGCTCTGAAATAAGCCTTATTCAACTAAATTCCCCGCCTTGTACTTCTAAGGCAGCATGGTCATTAATGAAACAATAGGCCTTTTCCTAAAATAAATCAAAAGGCTGCATCTGGCCAGGGTCAGGAAACACAGGTTTCTGGACACAAGAAACTCTGATTATTTGCAAATGTTAATTAAAACACATCGCACTTAAGAACTGCCCAGTTTAGATGTTGGGGTCTGTTTTCCCAGTGCAAAATGAACCCAGGTGTTTTTCCACACTCAGCCAGCTTTTCACAGGACAGTGGGGAGCTCTTTGTCTGGGAGCAGGCCAAGGGGTGTGACTCCTGGCAGCAGCTGCGTGGCTGAAGGGCAGACTGAACGCTGTGTGGGAAGCTGTGTGCGCCTGCTCGCATCTGCTGAGGCCACAGGTTCTGTCAAGTTAAGGAAGTTAAATCTATCTCACAGACTTGGTAAAGTACAAGTACAAAACCTGTAGTTCTTGCTACAAAAAGCAAAGCACAGGAAACTTCATGTGTACCTCACTTTAACCAGAACATGACAATTAAGATTTACAAACGTTTTCAGTGTTTCTGCATTTTACAAAAGGATCCTTTTGAATCCTCAAATGGATTTTAGATTGTTTTATCCAATAACTTTTCAAAGAACAGTTCGATGTGAAAAGTCAGACATCTATTTAACAGAAAGGAAAGTCACAAGAAACAAGTTCAGTATATATGGGAAAAACTGCAAATATGAGAAAATCCATTAACATATAATGAATATTCTTTTCCTTTCATAAGTGCCCAGATGTGCACTGAAATGCCTCTCATTTATTCTTACTTGCTTTCTATATTTAAGCGTATTTTGATTTAAACAGTTTATATGCTCCTGAAATTTTTGAAAAATTAATCATTATTTTAAATGGACTCACAATAAGAATCCCATACATTTTTCAATTCAATTCAACAAACTCTGGGCTTTATTATTTATTAGGCACCATTAACCCTCATCAACTCTTTTATTGGATACCATCAACTCTTAACAATCTTTTAGGTAAATCCAGGTTTTAGCTTAGGTTTACTTATAGTGCAGTACTTGGTAGAAAAAGGCAATCTGTTTCCTATTCTTCATTTATATTCTAAGTTATCTGCATGCTTATCTACTATGATTTCAGCTTATAACCTGTCTGGTACGTTGTTACTTTACTCTGATTCTCTGTTGAAAATGAATTCTTAATGTGTATAATTTCAAAACCAACAGTTGCAAAATGAAACATGGAGATTCGCAGTTTCCTTTTTTAAAAAACTGTTATCAGTTAGGTTGTTTTTGGTTTGAAAATATTTATGCTTAGCCTCCCTAAAACATAATGTCCATCTTATATCAGTGCTTTCACACACTTTCACACACACACACACACACACACACACACACACACACACACACACAGAGTCAAAAACCCTTAAAATTTTTGTTTTCTCAGAGTAATAATATCTTACCCAATCCCTTTGAGCATTTCTGCTATGGTTATTATTGGAAAACCTTAAAAATATCTTAGGGTTTCTGGAGTCCCCGGAGCATCCCTAACCCACATCATGGAAGAGAAATTCTCTCCAGAAGAGTGTAGTTGATCTACATATGAGAGGTGGGTATTACAAACTGAACCTTAGCCCTCCAGTGTTCTACCCTGAAAGGGCACACACGGATTAGTATGGTGGCAGGAAGCAAAGAACCAAGCAAACTTTCTGTACAAAATGTAAGGCAGTTCTTAAGAGGACAGAACATCATTGTTTACATTTTGCAGTCTCTTGCTGTTCATAAGTAAAGATAAATTCCATGAACAATAAAAGTGATTTTAGGAAGACTTAAATCTAAAACTCTGCACTCCATCCTCACTCCTATATTTTGTTTAAATTATCGTATAGCAACTTGAGTTTAAGATTAACTTCTGCCATTCAGATTAATATTGAAAATATTTCCTAAATAATTTAATGACATTGACCACAATATGTAAAGATTTGGTTCTGATAAGATTACAAATAACCAAAAATGTTAACTTTGAGATTCAAAGCCCTGTAAAATCTGGAAAAAGTTGTTTATATAAAGTATACTATAACAATAACATTAAGACTTATTTTTGAAATAAAACATCTCTGAGACACTTAGGAATACATGCTTATTCCACTCTGGATAATTACTAGTACTTTCTGAAATCTGTTGAGAAATAATTTCTGTAAAAAGAGAGCTAGGTGTCAAATTCTAGAAGCTGGGTGTCAAGATTACGTTACAAAATATCGGTTTTCCAGCACTGGCTTGATATAAAATGGTCTTTGAAAAGTATTTTTAAATGCAAATGCAGAACTCTTGATGCTTCCTTTAAGACATGTACTCTGTCATAATTAACGAAGTATGGTCTTGGATTGTCTTCTAATGAGGTATCTGTAGAGTCACGTCTCATTCTGTAAACAGTGTTTTAGAAACATCTTCATCTGAAAATCATGGTAAAGTCTCATTTTACCAAAAACAGAAACACACTGTCAGGCTGACTGCGAGACCGGTGTGTGATGTGAACACAGCTGTCAGGGGTTCCATTTTCTCATGTAGGTGTGCATTTATTGCTCTCGAGTCTGTGACTGCAGGCTAAATAAGGCAGAAAGTAGTCCCCAAACAACTAAAATTAGGGGCTGGATCTCTGACAATTTGCACAAGTTCTGCCCACTTCTTGCCTGTAACTCTGAAGCTGAATAGTACATTTATACATGCCAAATGTGTTCAATAACAAAAGCTTTGCTTTGGACTGTACTTCCTCCCATTTAGATGAACTTCCAGGAACTGCAATGTCAAGAAAATATCATTACTATTCATTGTACCTAGTTACACATTAGTGAATAAGACACAGGGAAAAAACTACCTTAGTTGAAAAAGCAAACTACTGTGAACATAGTTTTATTAGTTTGATTTCTACTCTCTTGAAGCTCCTCTGTTAGAGAAGTGTGTCAGTTTACAAAGCCTGAATAGCCATTATCCCAGTCTCTCCAGTCCACTATCAGGTAGGGACAGAATACTGAAATCAATTACAAGTCTTTCATCTTTTGTACTTTTTCTTTTATAAACCACATGCATGTACCATTTTGATAAACAATAAAAAGCATCAATCTTTGAAATGATATAAAGAAATAAAAACATAGGGTCTAACTTTTCTTATGTAGAAAAAACATGGTAAATATACTTAATGCCTTTAATCTGAAGGCAAAAATCTACTTGTAATGTCTCATCTCAAAGAGATAAAAAATTATTGCTGTGCTATCAATACTGACCTGCAACTCACGTTTTGAAGAGCCCACACCTCCCTTAAAACAAATCTTTCCAGCAGAAAAGTATTCCTACTTAATTATAACACAAATGTTTAAGTCCCAGGATAGGAGTCCACCAATCCCAGCATTTACCATCAGCAACATACTTAGCTGGATGTGGACTATGGCAGTGGGTTTTCCTGAAGTGAGAGACCATATGTTTAAATCTTCCACAGAATGTACATCGTCTATTTTCATCAAGGCTTCTTTGATATAGTCTACATTCAGATTCCTCGGTACACCTATTAGTTCAGAATATATCATTTATAAGTAACATATATTTGGGGGAAAAGTTATACATTATGAATAGGATGCTTTTTAAAAACAAAAAAACCAAATGGCTTTACCAAATTCAATTTAAATGAACATTTTAAAATATATTAATACTTTAAAACATGTACACATATAGCAGGATATACATAAGAGGTTAATAACTACTTTAAAAATGTTCATTCTCACTAAAAAGGGATGTTAAACCATAGTATTTCATCTAACTAGTAAGCTAGGATAGACAAAAAAAAAAAAAGAGGAACATCCAATGATGATAAATTTACTTTTGAGAACTTGTATTTACATGCTTATACTTAATATTAGTAAGGCAGGGGTGCTAAAAATATAACAAAGTAGCAAGGTAAATGGAAATTAAGGAATTAATAAATAAACCCCTAAATATACTTGCGTTAAGAATCAAAACAGTTGCATTCTTGTCGTAGCTCCATAGTGTGTTAGCAGTATGACCTTACTCAAGTTATGCTACCCCTCTGAACCTCAATTTTCTTGTTGGTAAATAGGGATAACAACATGTGCCTTACCAACTTTTCCTAGCTATTATAAGGATCAGATGGGAAGGACATGGGTTCTTGTATGTTATATACATGGAAGGTGGTGTTACCGTAGCCTTGTTAAGTATCAGCAGAAACAAAGAAAAAGAATGGCTCCTGCCCTAAATGTCTCCCCCACCCCCAATCTGAATTAGGGAAGTAATAAATCGACAGTGAGGATATTAGTGAGATCTTACCTTCGAGTATTATAACTACTGTGTCCCATATGATGCGGAATGTTGTAAAAGCCACAAGTAATGAAAATACGTATGTACAGATGGGATCAGCAATCTTGTATTCTGGCTGTAAGATGATTGATCAAGATTGTGTGATTAAATACTGACAGACATAAAACAGACCGTAAAGCAAAGTAAGCCATCCTCTGTCCCCTGTTCTTTAGCAGGACTGGAGAATACCTTCAAAACTTGGATATTGCAATTGAGAAATGTCTTCCCTCTTTCCTAGATTGTTTAAATGTCTTTCCTTGTGGGACCTATTTCCAGAAGTTTAAGTGTTTGTTCTATTGTTTTCCTCTGTGCCTTCTCTAAATCTTCAGCCCAGAACCACAGAATATCAGAGTGGGAAGGAGTTTTAGCAGCCATCAATCTGATTTAAGCCCTTCATATTAAAGAAAAAGGAACTCAAATTTCGAATTGAGTGACTTGCTCAAGTTTAAAGTATTAATGGCAGAGTCCAGACTAGAACCCAGATCTCTGGAATTCACTCCAGTGCCCATTCCATACCTGGCAGTTCAGTGACAAGGCTTAAAACTGAGTTCTCCAGTGAAGGCATGACCAAAGGCAGCTACAGATAAGTTACCTTGTGATGTGACACTATTGTGTTTAGTACTAACAAAAGAGCTATCCTGGTGGCTCACTTACGCTTATGTAAATGCAACCTGAATAGGACTGGCCCTGGTGTCCAGTATGCTGATAAAACACAATCACCTTTAGTTTTAATGTCGAAATTATATATACTTTAAAGCAGAAACATTAGCACTCATATTACCTTGAATCGTATGATGTATGCAGCTATTAGCACTCCGACACTCTGTACCAAGTCCCCCAAAGCGTGTACAAAGGCAGCTCTCACTGCCAGGCTATCCTGCCCATGGCTGCGTCCACATCCGGAACTCGTGGAAGGGGAATTTGGAGGCGGAGAGTGGGAATGGGCATGATGGTGACCAGACTGGTTCAACAGAAACCCCATTCTGTTAAAAGAAAACATAATTTTCTTCCTGATATTAATGATAAAAATATTTGTTACTAATCATACACTAATGAGGCAACATGGAACTCATTCATTTAAAAAATATTTGAGCACCTATTATGTATCAGGTACTGTTTTAGATGCTGGGGTCAAAACAGTGAATAAGACAGATATATCCCTACCCCGACAGAGCTTATGTTCTAGTAGGGAAAGGCTGAGAAGTAAACAAATAAATACCCAATGTACTGGCAATGAGAATGCTTTGAAGAAAAGCATTGCAAGGGGGATGGAGGGTGATGGGGAGTTGTTAGAGAAGGCCTTTCTTCGATTCCCTCTGAGCAGAGATTTGAATGAAATCAGGAAGCAAGTTGTAGTGAAAGAGTGTTCGAGGCAGAAGGAACACCAGGGCAAAGGCCCTGAGATGAAAATCTGCTGCATGTGCTTTAAAAAAGCAAGACAGCCATTGTGGCAAAAATAAAGTGAGCAAGAGCGCTAGGAGATGAGCTGGACTGGTGCACAGGATCTTACTGAAAAGGCTTTGGAAGGATTTCTGATTTTATTGTAGGTACAAATGGAAGCCACTAGGACGGACTGGCAAACCATGGTCTGTAGACCACATGTGGCCCACTGCCTGTGTTTGTTAAGTAAAGTTTTACTGGAACACAGCCATGCTCATTTGTTTACATACTGAATGTGGCTGCTTTTGTTCTATAACAGCTGAGTGGAGTAGCTGCAAAAGAGACTGTATGGCTCTAAAAGCCCAGATATTTAGTATCTGGCCCTTTGCAGAAAAAGTTTGCTGACCTATGATCCAAACGATTAAGTATAAAGCTGAAAAATTTAATAGTTTTTAGGAAAAAAAAGTTGATAGTTTAAAATAAAAATCTCATTAACATAAAAGTATTATAAAAATTAAATTAAAAAAAAGTTTGTCCTAATTAAATTCCTGATTGGTAGTAAACTTCAGTATCACTGAGCAAACTAATGAGGAATTTATAATTCCAACAGCGTTTTATTAACATTTATAAGAAAAACTTATGTACTATATAATTATATTAAAATATCACTGCACATTACTGAATGCATGTATAATAGTTTCTAAGTTCACAGTATTTTAAAATGTTAATGTGAAAATAATACAGAGTGTATGACACATGTCATTGTCATGGTGGATGCATATTATAATTTGTACAAACCCATCTAATGTACAACACCCAGAGTGAACCTTAATGTAAACTATGGACTTGGGGTGATAATGATGTGTCAGTGTAGGTTCATCAATTGTAACAAGTGTATCACTCTGGTGAGGGATGTTGATAATGGCGGAGGCTGTACATGTGTGGGGAGGGGCTACATGGGAAATCTCTGTGCCTTCCCCTCAATTTTGCTGTGAACCTAAATTTCTCTAAAATTACAGTAAAGCCTATTAAATTAAAAAAAAAATAGAGCTTACATTACATTAACTGCAACTCCGACAGCTGCGGTAATGAGCATTATATCTCCATTTATTTCATATTTCATATGGATAGTTCTTTGGACAGCTTCATATAGGAGGAATCCCATAAGTATATACACCAACAGCACACTAATCATAGCTGACAAAACCTCTGGAGGGAAAAATATAAAAAACAAATGTATTTGCAGCATGGTTATTACACTTCATAAAAACTGAACGCTGTACAATCATTTATTTATATCTTCTTTCCTAAGGAGATAAAAGTACTATATCATTTTTGTCATGTTATTTTTCTTTAAAAACTTTTTAGTTGTTTGATATAGAACTTTTTATTGTGGTATAACTGACATATAATCAACCTTATTGTTAGTTTCAGGTATACAACATAAATATATATTTTTATTTAAAAAGTTTAGTAGTTTGGTCTGGCTTCTCCACTAATACTCCTACCACTCCCCACCTTCCCCTCATCTCTTTAGGGTCAAATTATGTATTTCACAGACCATACACATGGTAAAAAATGAAAAACTGAGAAAAAATATTTGTAACATACATGATCACAGGTTAATTTCCTAATAGACAAGTACACTTACAAATCAATAACGAAGTGAGCAAATTGTAAGAAAAATGGATGAAGGGCATAAATAAACAGAAATGGCTAATTTAAAAAAATTAATAATAATGCAAGAAATTCAAATAAGAATAAAATTCCTTTTTGGCCCTTACTAAATTGGCAGATTAAAAAGTTTGATAACAGCCAGAGTTAACAAGGATATTCTGGTGGAAGGATCAAATGGAACTATCTTTTTGGAAAGCAGTTAGTACAACTAATCAAAGTTTCAAATGCATGTATTCCTTAATTTTAGGAATCTACAATATTGATAGAAACACATCCATATGTATGCAAAAATATCTACAGGGTTTTCACTGTAAGTTTGTGTATAGTATCAAAAAAGGTCTGGAGACATCTTAAATGTCCACCAATGAGTTTGGAACTTAATGGATAAATTATGGTATATACATATAATGGGATACCATATAGCCATTTATATAAAAAAAGAAAAACAAAAATTAGGCAAATTGATAATCATAAGAAAAACTAGAATTGTGACATCTGGGAAGTGGGAGTAGGCACTTGGAGAATTTATTTTTCACTTTATTCTTTTCAGTAATGTTTGAAATGTTTTAAGTTTTTAACCACAAATGTATTACTTTTAGACTAAATAAAAACAAAGACATTTTCTAGGCATGCAAGTATTCATGAGTGCAGTCTGACCCAGGAATTCTTCTTCTAGGAATGATATACACACTCATGCCAATTGAATTGCACATGCATAAAATGAGGTATGTTATGAAGCTATTCATCAAGCATTGTACCATTTCCCCGAAAATAAGACCTAGCCAGAAAAGAAGCCATAGCATGATTTTAGGTGCCAAAATATGGCGCCTTGGCATACTGAATATTTTAAGCTGAAGGAGTTTGTGGAAAAGGCACCCTTCTCCCTGAAACAGGTCATAAAACCCTCATATGAGGGGTATGTCCCCTCCACATCCTGGAGGAATCATGCTACAGCTTCTTCTCTGGCTAGGTATTATTTTCGGGGAAGCACAGTATATAACAGCAAATAATGGAAAACAATTAAAAAGTGACTAGTAGAGGACTTGTACATGGAATACTATGAAGCTGTAAAAAAAGAACAAGGTTCTTTACGCTCTGATAGAATAATCTCCAAAATACAGTTATGTGAAAAAAGCAAAGTACAAAATAGTGTGTATGATGTTACCATCTGTATGAAAGGGAAAAAAAGAATATATAAATAATGATCTGTATAAGCAGTCTATGGGAGGGTGTACAAAATACTGATAAAAAACTGGTGGTGAGGAGAATGGGGAATTGGGAGATAGCGATGACTTTGCACTATATATGCTTTTATACCATATGAATGTTATACCATGTGAGTATAAAGTAGAAACAATTTTATATATTTTCTAAATAACAAAAAATAGGGCAATGTGAAATATATATTAAAATAATCAACTAACATCATTATATAAAGCAAGTGCTGACACACAAAACAATAAATGCAAGAAAATACTTTTAAAGAAAATTTTTCCTTTAGAGGAACCAGACATTAATCCTGGTAAGTGTTAAAAGGTAAAACAATCTGGAAAACGGTTATCTGGATCAACTCATTGCTCAAAGGTTTCAGGCAATTCGAGTATACTGGACTTTGATACACTTTAATTCCAACCTATAAATTATAACAGAAAAGTTATCTAGCAACTATAAGCTGTTTCCTGAAGACATCTCATTAATTTAGACAGCACTCCAATAAACTGTGCATCAACAGAACAGATGTTGGAATAAGACAAAAAAACACAATTACTGTTCAAAACCATGGTACACTTATTCTTAACATACTAATAATGATCATATCTTGAAAGAGACACAGGGCTGAAGAAAACAGAGCAAAGACCAACTGAAATATACAAAGCTGTGGAGAGACAACCGTATTAAGTCCAGGCTCTAAGCTCCTTGAGAATACGACCAAGTTAACATTCTATGTCACATTTATTGTAGCACTCAGCAGTGTGGCTGGCATATAGTAGGTATTCAAATATTTATGGATACATTTTTATAATGAAGTTAGGTTGAGCAAAGGAAGATAAAAAGCTACACAGTTAAGAAGGTTAAGCTACTGTAAATATAAATAACAGGTTACTGTAGTCCCCCCCCATCTGCAGTTTTGCTTTTTGCGGTTTCAGTTATCCATGGACCACCTTGGTCTGAAAATATTAAATGGAAAATTCCAGGTAAAAACCATTCCTACGTTTTAAATTATACACCGTTCTGAGTAGTGTGATGAAATCTCAAGCTGTTCTGCTCTGTCCCACCCAGGACGTGAATCATCCCTTTGTCCAGTGTATCCATGGTGTATATATGCTCCCTGACTATTAGTCACTCAGTAGCCCTCTCAGTTATGAGACTGGTTATGAGAGGGGGGGGGGAGAGGGAGAGATATCACTTTCACATAACTTTTATTACAGTATATCATTATAATTGTTCTATTTTGTTATTATTGTTGTTAATTTCTTACCATGCCTAATTTATAAATTAAACTTTATCACAGGGTTTAAGTATAGGAAAAATAGTATATGAGTATATAGGGTTCAATACTATCCATAGTTTCAGGCATCTACTGGGGGTGTTGGAATGTATCCCCTACAGATAAGAGGGTACTTAATGTATTTACTAAATCCTCCCAAACAAAAAATAAATAGATTAAAATAGAAGAATTAAGCCAAATACAAAACAGAAAATACATGGAATTTCTTCTCTTAAGTTGTACCTGCTGATGATAAAATAAACATATATAAATATTATAAAGAAAAGAATTAAAAATTTTTTTAAACTGTAAAATCTCATGTACTAGTGGCAGCCTCATTTTACTCACAAAGAAAGAGAACTTTAATTCTCTTTAAAATTGGTATTTAAAAAATACCAATCCTTTTCGAGCTCTTCCAAAAAAAAGAAAGAGAACTTTAATCATATGTCAAAGTTGAAGTTAGCAATTAGGACACCATAATTTTTAAGGTGAGTTAATCAAATTTTTAAATATGAAATTATAAAGCAATACACTTTACATTTATATTCATAGCTATACAAGTTAATGACATACAGATGTGATTGCTTATGAAAATCTAAAGCCAATAATTAAAAAGTCTTTCAAAACCCCCTATAATTAGGCTGACCATACTTTCCAGTTTTCCCAGAACAGTCCCAATTTATGCTTATTGTCCTAGTATAATTACTAAAAGTGCCCCATTTTACTATAAAAAATGTCCTGGTTTGGATGATAAGTTATCTAGTTACCCTAGTAGGTCTGCCAGATAAAATACTGCTTGCCCAGTTAAATTTGCATTTCAGATAAACAACAAATAATATTTTAATATAAGCATGTCCCATGCAGTATTTTGGACATATTGGGCATCCTGTAAGAGCCGCATGTGCACGCATGCATGTGCTAAATCTGGTAAATCCATACCCTAGGGGTAATTTTCCTAAACACTTAAAATTACCTTTTTGTGAACTCTCAGATAAGACAAAACGACCTTCAAAATAACGTAAAATGAAAGTCAAACTAAAGCAGAAACATAGTGCCTTGGCAAGGAGTATCCCACCGGTAGAAGGTTCATCAGGCTACTGCAGCTGAAAACACAGTTTTCCACATCACAGTTTTCACCCACATTTGAGTGGCATAAAAGGGATCCCAATGCTTGTCCACACAGTTAAGAGTAATGGAATTCGGCTGATTCCTACAGATTCCCAAATGACAAGATACTGCTATCAATGACATCCCTTTTCCAGCAATTAATAAAGAATGTGCCTCATATCTAGTTCCCTTGATGAAAAGCAAAGACATTCATCTGTTATTTTTTATTTTAATCACCTGTCAAAATATCTTCTAGCCAGAAAAGTGATGAATGCAAAAGGGAGAAAAAATTTTTAAGTCGATTTTTAGGGCTGAGATTTATAATTGAGAAATATAAAGCATAGATAATACTATATAGTTAAAAATCCTAATAGTAGTAATATGACCATTCTGATAAAAATGAACAAAAAGCTCTTTCATTGTGAATAAATTAAACTTTGGTGAAATATCATGAATAGGACTAATTAGTGTTTAAAAAATTTTCCTAGTATTTTTAACATGATGGAATGTAGATAAACATAGATAGGCAAAATGTTTTTTCTCCCCACATTTAAGAAAGAGGGAAGCTTTCAATCAACAACCAAATTATGACTTGTTCCAATCTTCTCATTCATGCTCTGGGTTGGTCTCCGGTCACATAATATACAGTCAAGTTTTTCAAGACAAAAGGAGTGCATAACATTAAGATTTTTCATTTTCTAAAGGAAACTCAGGAATTTCACAATTGAAACACTAGATTTCTTTAAGTACCCCATTAGTTTTAGGTCAACTTGACTAAAGGGAAATTTAGCAAAAATGAAAAACTCTTGAATGAGATTTTTATGGAAGTTCTAAAAACCTATTATTATAGTAGTTTTAACATAGTTTGCTACTTTACACACAAATAATTAAATTAGTCTTCGTGGCTGAACTGTAGCATTGGAGTGGGGAATAAGATGAGTAAATATGTATTTTTTTGTTATAACACCACTTGGGTCTTTTTGTTTAGCTGAAATATAAATAAATGGTTATGCTAAATGATCTAATAAAGACGAAAATACACCCTGATTTCACATACAGAGAATAAATAGTTTGGGCTTGAATGGCCAATAAATAGTAAGAGAAAAAATTAAATGGGAGAAAACATAGATGATTATCAAGTTTTGATAGTACTAAAAAATATAAAAAAAAGTTTACTGCACATTTTAACACATTTATAAATTGCCAAACTAGAGGTTTTCAAAGTTCACATGAAAAACAATGAGTACTTCTCTGTCCTGTTATTCTCCATCATAGTATCTTATTCTTTCCTCTTTGTAGCATTTAATACTATTTGTGATTATGTTGTGTTTATGTACATATTTACTGCCTGTCTCCCCACCCTCTACTATTATTCATTCAACAAATAAGCATTGAGTGCCTATTCAGTGAATGAATAACAGTCGGCTTCACCTATGTAAACCACACTCAACCCAAGCATATTTGCTTTTTTGTGTGTTTGTGAGTGCTGCCTAGCTGTATAGGTCTATATCATAACTGTTGACTTTGTTAATGCTATGATGCCAATAAGGAATACATTTCCCTTGAATTATAAAATATTTGTCTATTATCTTGAAGAACAATATATAGTACATATCTAAAGACAGATTTCAGAGATCTATAAAAATCAGTAGGGAAGAAGAGTGGAGATATAGTCTCTCTTCTATTTCCTTCTGTGTGATTTATCTTTTCTACCTTCTTCAGATAGAAGATAGAAGAAAACAGAAGAAAAATCAGTGGGCTGTACTGTATTTGCCTAGGACTTCCAAATTCCTATTTTTATTTCAACTCAGTCACAGACAACCCTATAGTACTCAGCGTCAGACATCACATGGGATTTTTAGTGGCCCACTCTAGCCACTAGAATGCCAAGATAAAGTGCAGTTTGTCTTTGGATCCTCTCACCTCCTATTCTAAATAATCGCCTATTTCCTGCCTTCTTACCAGTCGCTCTACCCACCCCAAGGTGCCAGCACTACAAGTTGACTTTTGGCTCTCCAACATTCATTACCTCACTCATGTCCTCCTCCTGCCACAGTAAAACTCCCGTTTCTAGGAAGTGCATACTCTTTTCCTATAGATGTTCATGTAATATGAATTAATTCTCACTAAGATGTGAATAATGAATAGGCAGGACTTGTCAGGGGTGGGAGGAAGTTGTTAAAATGAATCACTAACGAGACAGAAGAGATTTTTTTTTTTTGGTCTGCGTTTGTGGGGGAAGAGATTTTTTAGCTGAATACTTTCGGCTCCTTTAGCATCAGGGAATAATAAAATAACAAACGGAGCAGAATTAGCATCATAACCGTGTACCTACCTCATCACATCTGCCAAGGCCTTTGTTCAGAACACACTGCTATAAAAGCCTCCTGCGTGGGCACTTTGTCATTAACTTAGGCTGCTGATTTCATTACCACAGTGTGTATCTTGCTTTTTATTTCACATACAGGCAACTTTGCTTACTACTGTCCTTTCACATGATCACTATCTTTATCTAATCCATACGCCTCTTCAGCTTAAGAACTGGAAAAAAGCTATATATAAATAAAGTCAATTACACTCATAATCCACAGAGAAGGATAAAAGTAGAAGGCAAGCAAGGGGGCGGGGATGTTCACTTTAGAATAGCATGTTCCTTTGTCTGGGAGATAGTGTCATTCCTCCTAAAGATTTGTGGGATTTCTCCCACAGTGTGGTTTCATTAAGTTCTAAGATGGCATAACCACAGTTAAATAAATCCAGGCTTTTAAAAATAACTCACATATGGTTTCTTCCCTGTTCTCCCCATTTCCACACAAAAACCTGCTATTGTTGCTCACTATAAAGTAATAAATAGAGAAAATAAAAAGAAAAATCTGAATGATTTTACACAATCTATGAGATCACATGAAGGACAGTACTAACAGAATGGAACTGACTCCTGGGACAGCCACTTGGGCTTACCCTTCAAATCTAAAATTACAATTCTGTCACCTTGACTGGAGGACTTCTGCTAAAATAAATTTTGTTACATTGCCAAAAGTGTTACCAAAGACCCAAGTCAAAAAGCACTTCTTTTAAAATTGTTATTTAATCATCAGGGTGAATCATTTTACTTTTCTCCTAGCTGAAGCAGTTATGCTGAGAGAATAAGAATTCTGATTGGGGGGAAGGGAAAGCAGGCAATTTTGGAGCATAGATCATTTTGAGAGATATAAAAAGTCCAGGTAAGATGATATACTGGCAGGTAAAAGAGGGAAGGAAAAGAAGACTGGAACTAACTTTTATGGGAATTGACTCTGTGCCAAGTACCATGTTAGGTACTTATACCTTACCACCTTACTTTACGTATTTTTTATAATTCTCAATACAAATATTATCATCCCTATTTTACAGAAGAAACTCATACTTGGGAGAAGTTAAATTATTCTCCAAAAGGTCATTCTCCATATAGCTAGTAAAACTGTGTATCTCAGATATGAACCAAAGACAATTTAACCACAAAACTCTAAAGTGGTAAGTACCAAACAAATGAACAGGATGCGCCCCTGACTGAGATAAGGAAGAAGAAACTCTCTTCTGACTAATTTCTTTATTTGTCAGAAGGACCTATAAATCAGGTTTGTACCAGCAGCTATGTCACAGATCAAATAAATTTGTATAGTTTGTGAACTACAGTTTCAAAATTATAAACAAAGGTTTTCAAGTCCCAAATATTTTAATCCCAAAATTTCAAAAATACCACTACTCCCAAATGGAAATTAATTTACCCCAAACACAAATGACTTGAGGATCATGAGCTATACTAAATTATCTGTTTCACAGTTTTCATATTCTTATTTACTCAGCCTGACTATGCAACAATTTGATTAATAATCTTTTACACGTATAGCACTTATTAGTGCCAGAAACAGCGTTTAGTATATCTGTTCTTGTATTTAGTTAATTCATGGTATAGAAGGAGACACAGCTTCATAAAAAATAGCTATAAAAATGTGGTAAATGCTGTTAGGCATGTATGAAGTGTTATGAGAAAACACAAAATAAATAAATTTAGGAAATGATAACTACTACTTTCTATCATTCAGACACACACCTCCAAGTCTAGAACTGGACATACAGTATGCTGCCTTTTTCATAAAAAAGGGTAGCAGGGAGCAGGATATGAACATATACATGTATTTGCTTATACTTTCAAAAGGAAATGCTGGAAGGATAGGCCAGAAACGAATTAAAATAGCTACGAATAAGAAGTGGGGTGGGAGGGTGGGTTGGAGGGGACAGAATAAAGGTAAGACTTCTCTGAAGACTTCTGTACAAATCTTTTCTTTTAAAAAATAATTTTTGACTTTTGCAACATTTTTCACATATTTACAAAATAAATCAACAAATAAAAAACCAACCCTTCCTACCCCTCTATGCCATCAAAACAAAACAAAATTCAACAACAGTAACAAAGCAGAAGTTTCTTAGGGGGATTCCTTCTGCAGTGTTCTTCAGGACTCGAATTCCCAGGTTTTGATATTAGATGTCACAAGAGGCACACTATTTAAACGTGTCCGATATAAACATACCTTCCCCACAGAACTTCTAGATTATGCAAGCAGCAGCGGTATTTTGTGGAACACAGGGACAGCCACTGCTTTGGTTTATAGCTTTATTCAAGTCTACATATCTTTGTTGTCTTTTTAATCCTCCCCAAGTCACTGTAAGTTTTTCTTCCATTACTATCGCCACTTAAAAGAACAGAATAAGGGAAATGAGCGCTATATCTAGATATGTCCTCGGAAGGTTTTGGAATACAAAGAACCCAAAAGGCCCTTCTAGTGTGAGGGCTTGAGTCCCTCCTTAGCGCTGGAAAATATTCATCTAGCTCTGTCTTAAATTTTCATCTATCTCTTCCTTTAATTTTTTTAAATGACTTAAACATTTAGATAAAATTCACCATTTTAACAATTTTACAGTGTATAATTCGGTGGCTTTTGGTAGCCACACAAAGTTGGGCAACAATCACCACTAATTCCAGAGTGTGCTCATTACCCCAAAATAAACCCTAACTCATTAAGCAGTCACTTCCTTTTATTTTTCAAGTTCTCTTTTTCTGAGGTTCTTAAGTACAACTTTGGACCTCCTAGATTGTGCTTTTATAATTTTTAACTTTTTCCTCCTGTTTTTTTATCTTTTTTGTTCTGTATTCTGGGAGACTTTCTTGATTATATTTTCTAATCCTACTGAAAAAAAATTTTTTTTAAAGTTCAGCAATGTTTCAGTTTCAAAGAGCTTTTTCTTATGTTTCTGTTTCAAAATATTTTACTGTTTTATTATTCTGAGTATGTTAATAAGATAATTTAAAACATTTTCTTTTGTTCCATAAGTTACTTCTCTCTTCTCTGGAACTAATTTTTCTGTTAGGTTAGTTTTGTTCATTTTCTTTCATGCTGCTGGTTTTTCTCATTTGCAGGAAGATCCTTGGTTGTCCCTTCACATTTAGGACAGAAGAAAAGGGAAACCATCCTTTGTAAGAAGGAAATGCCAGAAAGGTAAGTGATCAACTAATTAAAATGGTTACTAATAATCAGTGTAGGGAAGGGCAGAATAGTGAGTAGGTGGGAAACCAAGCTATGAGGCTGCAGAACCCTGATTTGAGTATAAAAAAAGACTTCTTTTCAACTAGAAGTCTTCAACTAGAAGTCTAGAAGCTTCAGCT